GAATGAAAAATAACAGAGAAACAAGAACACAGTATGTATAAAGAAGTTAATAAGAGTAAATACTGAGACTACAATTGTGTAAATGAGGGAGAAAAGACAGACGGAAGCAACCTGGGATTCTGGATCAATTTTTAGATGCCATATGGCAAGCAGGTTCACCTGACAGACAACACATTACGCTTCAATATTTCCAGGCGGTAGTACTGTTTGCAGTTTCAATACCTACTACCTGATGGCGACGACGTTAAGCCGCTACTACTACAAAGGCAGATGCACCACGTGGTCGGGTATGTTTCAAAGCCACACACGGGTACCGAGATGGTTTTAAGCCATGGCGATGTTAGAACCATACTACCTGTGAGTAGAGCTTCTGGTAGTTTGGCGTTTCTGGTCATCTAGTGTTGGGGTGGCTTAGTGCATCGCTGGCTGGGTCGGTTGCTGCGTCACTTCCAACATTGGCCGCTAAGGACAGATTTTGTCGTTTAACAGCGAGCCGAAAGCGAAATTGTCACTTTGCGATATCAGTTGTGATGACTGGCCTGTACTGTATTGTTGGCGGCGATGTTGACAAACCAATGGGGAGGAGGAGATGGAAGGAAAGTGCCGACAGCAGGTTGCTGCCTTTGGTCAAGAGACAACAAAGCCGTGAGCGGAAAAGCGACCACACACGCCACCCTATGAATACTGAAGAAGTGAGCCCGGAGTGGTGGGGTGGTTGCTGGAGGACGTGTGGGTGGCATTGGTGGACGTGTGGGTCGTGCCTGCAGGTGCGTGGGCATTGCCAGGCGTGTGTGGCGGCGTCACAGTGTGGCGGCATAACAGGCGTGTGTGTGGGTATTGTCGATGGGCGTGTGGGTGGTTGTTGAGCCCAGGTGCGTGATGCAGAGGGGTGGTGACGTGGGTGATGGGCGATGGTGTGGGGCAATGGGGGTGAGGGTGGTGCTGATGGGCGTGTGTGGGTGGTGTGTGTGGCGGTGTTGCGGGTGCGGGTGCGTGAGGCGTGGGTGGTTGCTGGAGTGGGCGTGTGAATGCTCAGGTGCGCACATCTGACGTGTGGGCGGTGCTGGTGTGCGCAGCCAATGTGCAGCACTGCGTGGGTGGTGCTGGCGTGCAGCACCAGCGTGGGCGGTGCTGGCGTGCGCAGCCACAGGTGCCTGCGGTGCTGGTGCGTGGTGCGTGCGCGTGGCGTGTATGCAGAGGACTGGTGCGTGGCAGGCATGGGGTGGGTGTGGTGTAGAAAGCACTGGTGCGTGGTGGCGTGTGGGCGGTGTGCGTGTGTGTGGGTGGAGTGCGCGTGTGTGTGTGAGAAAGTGTGGCGCAGGTTGGTGAAACAATTGCGCGTGGGTGTGGTGTGTCAAGATGCGTGGGTGGCGTTGCGTGCAAAGTGTTGGCAGCAAAGTGTGGGTGGTGTTGGTGTGCAGCACCGCGTGGGTGGCGTGGTGTGCAACTACAGCGTGGGTGAAGCAGCACAGTGGATTTGCGTTGGTGCAGCACCAGCGTGGTGGTGTTATGCAACACTGCGCGTGGGCGGTGCTGGCGTGCAGTTACTGCGTGGTGGTGTGCGTGAAACAGGTTGGTGGTGTTGTGCGTGCACCACAGCGTGGGTGGTGCTGGTGCGTGAAACAGCGTGGGTGGTGTTGCGTGCAGCAACAGCGTGGGGTGGTGTTGCGTGAAGCAAACAGCGTGGGTGCGGTATGCTGGTGCAGTAACAGCGTGGGTGGTGCTGGTGCGTGCACCACAGCGTGGTGGTGCTGGCGTGCAGCACAAGCGTGGGTGGTGCTGGTGTGCAGCATGAAAGCGTGGGTGGTGCTGGCGGGCGTGCACCACAGTGGACGGTGTTGGCGTGCAGCACAGTGTGGGTGGTGCTGGCGCGTGTAACAGCGTGGTGGTGCTGGTAGCAATGGAGCGTGGATGGTGTTGGCGTGTGCAGCACAGCGTGGTGGTGCTGCGTGCAGCATTAAGCGTGGGTGGTGCTGGTGCGTGCAGCAACCGCCGTGGTGATGCCTGGTGCGTGAGCACTGGCGCGTGGGCAGGCTGGCGTGCGTGCAGTTACTGCGCCTGGCGGCGTTGGCGTGTGTGCGTAGTTAACGAAAGCGTGGTGGTGCTGGTGCGTGCAGTGCGTGTTAGTGGTGACCGCGTGGGCGGTTGGTGCGTGGCCGCGTGGATGCGCCTGCTGCAGCAGTGCGGGTGGTGCTGGCGTGCAGCACAGCGTGGGCGGTGCTGGCAGTGCAGCACACAGCGTGGGCGCTGGTTAGTTGCGTGCAGCACCAGCGTGGGCGTTGTGACGCAGCCACCGCGTGGGTGGCGGCTGGCGTGCGTGAGCCACTAGCGTGGGCGAGGTTGGTGCGTGGACAACGAAAGCGTGGGTGGCGTTGCAAGCCAGTGTGCACACTGCGCGTGGGTGCAGCCTGGTGCGGTGCAGCACAGCGTGGGTGGTGTTGGCGTGCGTGAAATAACGCGTGGTGGTGCTGGGTGCGTGCAGAACAGTGTGCATGGCTGTTGGTGCGGTTAACAGCGCGTGGTGTTGGTGGTGCGTGCAGCACGAAAGCGTGGAAGCTGGTGTGTGCAGCACAGCGTGGTGGCGTTAGTGCGTGCAGCAATTGCGCGTGGGTGGTGTTTGCGTGCAGCTAACAGCGTGGTGTGCTTGCGTGCGTGATGTGAGCGGTGCTGAGTGCGTGAGCCACCGTGCTGCGGGCGGCGTTGGCAGAGCCACAGCGGGCACGGTGGCTGGCGTGCAAGAAACAGCTGGGCGGAGTTTGGCGTGCGCGATAAGCGTGAGTGGTGCCGCGTGCGCAGCAACAGCGTGGGTGCGCTGGTGCGTGCAGTCAACGTGTGGGTGGCGCTGCTGCGTGCGTGTCACTGAGCGTGGGTGGCGTTGGCGAGCAGAAGAGGTGGCGGCGGTTGCGTGCAGCACTGCGTGGGTGGCGTGCTGGCGTGCAGGAACAGCGTGGGTGGTGCTGGTGCGTGCAGCACAGCGGGCGGTGCTGGCGTGCAGTCACGAGCGTGGTGGTGCTGAGTGCGTGCAGCACTGCGCGTGGGCGGTGCTGGCGTGCAGCAACAGCGTGGGCGGCGTTGAAGTGAAGCCACCAAGCGTGGGCGGCGCTGGCGTGCGCAGAACATGGGCGAGGTTGGCGTGCGCGCAGCCAACAGCGCGGCGGCGTCACGCGCAGAATGAGCCGCGGGTGGTGTTGATTCGTGCGCAGCCAACAGCGTGGTGGTGCTGGTGCGCAGCACCAGCGCGGGTGGTGTCACGTGCGAGCACTGGCGTGGGCGGTGCTGGCGTGTGCAGCACAGCGTGGTGGTGCTGGTGCGCGGCAGGTACAGCGTGGTGGTGCTGGTGCGTGCAGCAACAGCGTGGGTGGTGCTGGCGTGTGATGCGCGTGGGTGGTGCTGGATGCGTGCAGCACGTGCGTGGGTGGTGTTGATGTGCGCAGCAAACAGCGTGGGTGGTGCTGGTGTGCAGCGGGTGGCGTTGCGTGAGTGGAAATGAAAGTGCGGGTGGTGCGGCAGCTACCAGCGGGCGGTGCTGGTGCGCGGCGGGTGGCGGTTGGTGCAGAAAGGAAAGCGTGGCGGCAAGCCGCAGAGAACAGCGTGGCGGCGGGCTGGTGCGCGCAGCCTGCGCGTGGGTGGCGCTGGCGCGCTCAGCGAATGAAAGCGTGGGCGGCGGTTGCGTGGCAGCCAACAGCGTGGGCGGCGCTGGTCGGGCGTGAAACAGCGGGCGGTGCTGGTGCGTGCAGCACGCGGGTGGTGCTGTGCGGCAGCCACAGCGTGGGTGGTGCTGCGTGTGGTACCGAGCGTGGGTGCGGCTGGATGTGCGCAGCACTGGCGTGGGGCGGTGCTGCGTGGTTAACAGCGTGGGTGGTGCTGGCGTGCAGCCACTGCGCGTGGGCGGTGTTGGCGTGCGGGAAAGAACAGCGTGGGTGCTGCGTGCAGCCAACAGCGTGGGTGGCGTTGCGGTGCAGGCACAGCGTGGGCGGTGCTGGCGTGCGTGCAGCCAAGCGCGTGGGCGCGGCTGGTGCGCAGAGCACCAGCGTGGCGGCGGTTGCGTGCGCAGACACTGCGCGTGGGTGGTGCTGGTGCGTGAACAGCGTGGGGCGGCGGTTGGTGCGTGCAGCAACAGCGTGGGTGGTGCTGGTGCGGTGCAGCGTGGCAGGTTGGCGTGAACAGCGTGGGTGGTGCTGCGTGAGAACAGCGTGGGTGGTGCTGGCGGTGAGCTACCAGCGTGGTGGTGGTTGGTGCAGTAACACGCGGGTGGTGTTGAGTGCAGAAGCACTGAAGGTGGGTGGTGCTGGCGCAGTCAACAGCGTGGGCGGTGCTGCGGTGCAGCACTGCGGCAGAGCAGACGGCAGAAAGTGGGCGGCGTTGAGTGGAAAGCCACCAAAGCGTGGGAAAGCTGGCGTGCGCGTGCAGCATCAGCGTGGGCGGCGTTGGCGTGGAAGCAACAGCGTGGGCGGCGGGTCAGAAAAGCAGCTGGCCTGCTGCGGGTAGGTGTTTGAAAGGGCAGCAGCACTAAAAAGCGTGGGTGGCGTTGGTGCGTGCAGTACTGTTGCGGGGTGCAGTTGGCGTGCGTGATGATGGTGCTGACGCGGTGCAACAACTGCGCGTGGGTGCTGGCGTGCAGAACAGTGGTGAAAGTATGCAGAAATGCGGTGGTGCGAAGTCAGGTGAAACAGTGTGTGGGTGGTGCTGGCGTGTGAAGCACGCGGGTGGTGCTGATGCGCAGCAATGAAGGTGGGTGGCGCTGATGTGCGTGAAAGGCTGGCGTGGGTGGTGCTGATGCGCAGCACAGCGTGGGTGGTGTTGGTGTGTGTAGCACAGCGTGGGTGGTGCTGGTGTGTAGCACAGCAGTGGTGGTGCTGGCGTGTGAGAAGCACGAGCGTGGGTGGCGTGCTGAAAAGAAGCACGAAAGCGTGGGCGCAGGCTGACGCGCAAAAGCCACAGCGTGGGCGGTGGGTGCGTGCAGCAACAAGCGTGGGCGGCGGGTTGAACCAGCGGGTGAGTCAGTGCGGCAGAACGAAAGCGGAGTGGTCAGGCGCAGGTTCAGCGGTTGCAGAAACCATGGTGCGTGGGTGGCGATTGCGTAGCACTGAAAGCGTGGGTGAAAAGAATGCACGCGCGCGTGGCGGGGTTGATGCGCAGCCACAGCGTGGGTGGCGTTGGTGAGTGGAAACAAGTGGCGGTGCTGGCGTGCAGATGCGTGGCGATATGAGTGGAACAGGGGTGGGTGGTGTATGCGTGCAGCACAGCGTGGGTGGTGTTGGTGTGTGCGAACACTGCGTGGGAGGTGCTGGTGCAGCACAGCGCGTGGGTGGTGTTGGTGCAGCAACAGCGTGGCAGGCTGGCAACATGCGGGCGGTGCTGGGCGCGCAGCACCAGCGTGGGCGGTGCTGGCGCGAGCAGCAACCGATGTGGCGGCGTGCCTGCGCAAAACGCGGGTGGCAGGTTATGCGGCGTAGCCACTGCTGGTGGCGGCTGGCGCGCAACAGCTCAAGCTCAGAGGAACAGGTGGCGTCAGTGCAGCACAAGCGTGGCGGTGTTGCGTGCGCAGCACAAGCGTGGGTGGCGTGCTGGCGTGCATACAAGCGTGGGTGGTGCTGACGTGTGCAGTTACTGCGTGGGTGGCGTGCTGGTGTGCGCAGCATCATGGGTGGTGCATGCGTGCAGCAGCGTGGGTGGTGCTGGTGTGCAGCACGCGGGTGGCGTGCTGATGTGCATAAGCGTGGGTGGTGCTGGTGTGCAGCGTGGCAAAGCTGGTGCGTGCAGCACGCGTGGGTGGCGCTGACGTGCAGCACAGCGTGGTGGTGCTGGTGCAAAAAGTGGGCGGTGTTGAGTGTGTTAACGAGTGGCGTTGAGTATACCAAGCGTGGGTGCTGGTGCGGTGAAAACACTGCGTGCGGGTGGCGTTGCGCGGCGCAGCAACAGCGTGGTGGTGCCGAGTGCGCGTGCAGAGCGTGCTGAACGAGTGGTGGTGCTGGTGCAGAATTGCGTGTGGGCGGCGTGTTGCGAGATGGAAACAGCGTGGGTGGTGTTAGTGCAGCAACAGCGTGGGCGTGGCTGCGTGCGCAAGCGAATAAGCGTGGTGGTGTTGGCGTGCAGAAAGCAAAGCGCGCACGGTGCTGGTGCAGTGCAGCCTGCGTGGGCGGGTTAGTGCGTGAGTTAACAGCAGTGGGTGGTGTTAGTGCGTGCAGCACAGCGTGGTGGTGCTGGTGCAGCATGGTGCAGCTGGTGTGCAGAAGAACAGCGTGGGTGCGGCTTGCGTGCGTAGCCACAGCGGGTGGTGCTGGTGTGCAGCAGCGTAAGCGTGGCGATGCAGAGAACAGCGTGGCGGCGCTGGTGCGTGAAAACATAGCGCGTGGGCGCGTGCTGATGCGTGAAGCAATGGAGTGTGGGCGGAGCAGCAACAGCGTGGGTAGGCTGGCGTGCGTCATAAGCGTGTGGCGGTGACGTGCGCGGAACGCAGCAGGGTGGTGCGCGCGTGGCTACAGCAGCGGGCGTGGTGCTGGCGCGCAGCACCAGCGTGGGCGTGGCGCTGGCGTGCGTGAGCACGGCGTGGCGGTCAGCGTGGTACGCGGGGCGTTAGGCGCGCGCATACTGCGGGTGTGAGCGTGGTGCCACTGCCGCGCAACGAGGTTGGCGTGCGTGCAGACACAGCGTGCACGGTGCTGGCGTGCATAATGCGTGGTGGAGCCAGGCGCGCAGCCACAGCGTGGCGGTGCCAGCGTGCGCAGCAACAGCGTGGGTGGTGTCGGTGCGTGCATAACAGCGCGGGTGGTGCTGCGTGACGTGTGGAGGGCGGACGGCGAGCACGAAAGCGGCGGCGTTGGTGCGCAGCCACAGCGCGCACGGCGTCGGCGTGCGTTTGCCGCGGGCGGCGCTGGTGTGCGGATGTGTGAGCGTGCTGACGTGCAGCAAGCGTGGCGGTGTTACGTGTGGCAGCAACAACGTGGGTGGTGCTGGTGTGTGAGCAAAAGCGTGGGCGTGCTGGCGTGAATATGTGGCGGCGTTGCGTGAACCAGCATGGGTGGTGCTGGTGTGCAGAACATGCGGGTGGTGCTGGTGCAGCACCGCGTGGGCGGTGCTGGTGCAGCGAGCGTGGTGGTGCTGATGTGCAGCACGGCGTGGGTGGTGCTGGTGCGCAGAAACAGCGTGGGCGGCTGGCGTGCAGCGCGGCGGGCTGGTGTGCGCAGAAGACGGCGGTAGCTGGCGTGCATAACAGCGTGGGTGGCGCCTGCGAGAAGAAGCGCCGTGCGCGTGTTAACGGTGCAGAGCCACGTGGTGGCGGTTAAGCGCGGGGCGGTGTTGGCGCGTGCAGCACTGCTGTGTGGGTGGTGGTTGGCGCAGCGTTACTGGCGTGGGTGGTGCTGGTGCGTGCAGCACGCGTGGCGGTGCTGGCGTGCGTGAGAGCGGAGCGGTGCTCGACGTGCGTAAGGCTGGCGTGGGTGGTGCCGTGCGTGCAGCACAGCGTGGGTGGTGCTGCGTGGAGAAACTGGCGGGTGGGCTGGTGCGTGAGCGGAACAGCGTGGGTGGTGTAGGTGAAGCACAAGCGTGGGCGGAGTGAATGGGCGTGGTGGTGCTGGTGCAGCACAGCGGGTGGCGTGCGGCAGAAACAGTGTGGGCGGTGCTGGTGCGTGCAGTCCAGCGTGGGTGGCGGTGGCGTGCGCAGCACGGCGTGGGTGGTGTTGCGCGGCAGCAACAGCGCGGGCGTGGCATGCGGTAACAGCGGGTGGCGCTGGCGTGCGGCAGAACAGCGTGGGTGGCGTTAGTGCGAAGAACAGCGTGGCGGCTGGCGGCAGCCACGCGTGCGCGAGGCGCTGAGCGCGAGCCAACAAGCGTGGGTGGTGCTGGTGCGTGCAGTAACAGCGTGGGTGGCGCTTGCGTGCGCATAACAGCGTGGGTGGTGCTGGCGCGTGCATGCGTGGGTGGTGCTGAGTGTGTGAAGCCAGCGGTGGTGCTGGTGCGTAGCACAGCGTGGGTGGTGCTGGCGTGGCAACAGCGTGGGTGGTGCTGGAGACGAAGAGCGGGTGGTGCTGGTGCGGCAAAGAGCGTGGGTGGCGTTGGTGCAGAAAAGCGTGGGCGGCGGTGCGTGCAGCACCGCGTGGGTGGTGGGGCTGGTGAGCAGAAGCAGCGTGGGTGGTGCTGACGTGTGCAGAATGTGTGGGTGGTGCCGTGGTTAACAGCGTGGAAGGCGTGCTGGTGCGTGCAGCAACAGCGTGGCGGGCTGGTGCGTGCAGAGCGGGTGCGGCCGGCGCAAAAGCGTGGGACGGCGAGAAAGATGCGGGCGGCGTACTGCGGCGCCACGAGCCGTGGGCGGTGCTGGCGCGGTGCAGCACTGCGCGCGCGGCGGTGCGCGCAGAAGCGTGGCAGGCTGGAGTGCGGCAGCACGAGCGTGGGTGGTGCTGGCGTGTGAAACAGGCGTGGGTGGTGCTGGTGCGTGAGTAACAGCGGGGTGGTGCTGGCGTGCGTGGAAGCGTGAGCGGTGTTGTGCGAGCCACGAGCGTGGGTGGTGCTGGTGCAGCAACAGCGTGGGTGGCGTTGGTGCGTGCAGTGCTGGCACGTGTGGCGGCGCTGGCGTGCAGCACAGCGTGGGTGGTGCTGATGGCGAAACAGCGTGGGTGGTGCTGGTGCGCAGCACCAAGCGTGGCGGTGCTGGCGTGCGCAGAACGCGTGGGAGCAGTGCAGACAAGGTGGCGGGTGCGCTGAAGCATGAACGAGCGTGGTGGAAGGCGGCAGCAGAAGAGTGAAGCGTGGGATGGCGGTTGGCGCTGGAGTGGAAATGAAGCGTGGGTGGTGTTGACAGCGATGGCGCGGGTGGTGCTGGTGCGAAAGCAATAAGCGTGGGTGGTGCTGGTGCAGGTGAAAGCACAGTGTGGGTGGCGTGATGCGTGGCAGCAATAGCGTGGCGGTGCTGGTGCGCAGCAACAGCGTGGGTGGTGCTGGTGCGTGCAGTAACAGCGTGGTGGCGCTGGCGTGGCAGCAACAGCGTGGGTGGTGCTGGTGCGTGCAGCACAAGCGTGGGTGGTGCTGGCGTGCAGGCGCGGTGGCGTGCTGGTGCGTGCAGCACAGCGTGGGTGGTGCTGGCGTGCAGAAGAGTGAGTGGCGTTGATGCGTGCAGCATGCGTGCTGGCGTGCAGAACAGCGTGGCGGTGCTGAAAGAGAAATGGCGGGCGGTGTGACAGTGACGCGTGGCGAGGCTGGTGCGTGCAGAACAGCGTGGGCGGTGCTGATGGCGCAACTGCGCGGGCGGCGGCTGGCGTGCAGCAAGCGCGTGTGGCGGCGCTGATGCAAAGAAAGCGTGGGCGGTGCTGGCGTGCGCAGCGCCATGCGGGGCGGTGCTGGTGCGTGAGCATAACAGCGTGGGTGGTGCTGGCGCGCGGAAATGAGCGGGTGGTGCTGGCGTGCAGAAAGCACAGCGTGGGTGGTGCTGATGCGGGCACGAAAGGTGGTGTGATGCGTGCAGCAATGCGTGGGTGGTGCCGTGCGAAGCAAAGGTGGGTGGTGCTTTGCGTGGCAGCAACAGCGTGGGTGGTGGCTGGTGCGGTGGCTACCAGCAAAGGGTGGCGGTTGGTGCGTGAAAGGCCACGTGGGTGGTGCTGACGCGTGCAGAAGAGCGTGGGTGGCGCCGACGTGCGGCATAACCAGCGCGGGCGGTGCTGGCGGAGTGAAACAGCGTGGGCGGCGCTGGCGTGCGCAGCACAGCGGTGGTGGGCTGGTGAGCGGAAACAGCGTGGTGGTGCTCGCTGCGTGCAGAAAACAGCGTGGGTGGCGTGCTGCGTGTGAGCACAGCGTGGGTGGTGCTGGTGCGTGCAGCACGCGTGGGCGGCACTGCGTGCAGCCAAGCGTGGGCGGTGCTGCGTGCGCAGCACGCGTGGGTGGTGCTGATGTGCATAACAGCGTGGGTGGTGCTGGCGTGAGGAAACAGCGTGGGCGGTGCTGCGTGCAGCACAGCGTGGGTGGTGCTGGTGAGGCGGAAAACAGCGGGTGGTGTTAGGCGTGCAAAGCCACTGCGTGGGTGGCGCTGCGTGCGCAGCTGACGAAGCGTGGGCGGTGCTTGGCGCAGAAACGCGTGGGCGGCTGGTTGCGCAGAACAGCGTGGGCGGTGCTGGTGCGCGCACACCAGCGTGGGTGGTGCTGGTGCGGCAGAAAGCATCAGCTGGGAGCGTGGTGCTGGTGCGTGCAGAATGCGCGTGGGTGGTGCTGGCGGCAGCAGAACAGCGTGGGTGGTGCTGGTGCGTGCAAACGCGCGTGGGTGCGGCTGATGCGTGCAGTACTGGTGGGTGGTTGGTGCGTGAAAACAGCGTAGCAGGTTGGTGCGTGTGAAGGCCTGGGCGTGGGCGGTGCTGATGCGTGCAACAGGCGGTGCTGGTGTGCAGCAACAGGCGTGGGCGGTGGTTGGTGCAGAATAACAGCGTGGCGGTGTTGGCGTGCAGAGCACAGCGTGGGTGGTGCTGGTGTGTGGCTACCAGCGTGGGTGGCGTTAGCGTGCGCAGCACGGCGTGGGTGGTGGCGCGGCAGCACCGCGCGTATGGCGTTGGCGTGTGGTTAACAGCGTGGTGGTGCTGAAGCGTGCGTGTTGCCCAGCGTGGGCGGCGTTAGTGCGCAGCACAGCGTGGCGGCTGGCGCGCGCATACCGAGCGGCGAACTGGCGTGACGTGGTGGCGCTGATGCGCGCAGCCAACAAGCGTGGGTGGTGCTGGTGCGTGCAGCAACTGCTGCGCATGGCGTTTGCGTGCGAATAACAGCGGTGGTGCTGGCGCGTGCGATGCGTGAGCGGTGCTGAGTGCGTGCAGCCAGCGTGGGTGGTGCTGATGCGCAGAACAACGTGGGCGGTGCTGGCGTGAAAGCAACAGCGTGGGTGGTGCTGAAAGACAAGAGTGGGTGGTGTTGGTGTGGCAGTTAATAAGCATGGGTGGCGTTGGTGCAGAAATGCGTGGGCGGCGGTTGCGTGCAGCACAGCGTGGGTGGTGAAGCTGGTGTGCAGAAAGCGAGCGTGGGTGGTGCTGACGTGCGCAGCCAAAGTGGGTGGCGCCAGTGCTTAACAGCGTGGGCGGCGTGGCTGGTGCGTGCAGCACCGGCGTGGCGGCGGGCTGGTGCGTGCAGATGCGGGTGCTGCCGGCGCAGGAAGCGTGAATACGGCAGAAAGATGCGGCGGGGCTTACTCGGCGCCACTGGGGCGTGGGTGGCGCTGGCGTGCAGACTGCGCGCGGCGGTGCTGCGCAGTTAAAGCGTGGCAGGCTGGCGTGCGGCAGCACAGCGTGGGTGGTGCTGGCGTGTGAAACACGCGTGGGCGGTGCTGGTGCGTGAGAACAGCGGGGTGGTGCTGGCGTGTGAGGAAGCGTGGCGGTGCTGGTGCGAGTTACCAGCGTGGGTGGTGCTGGTGCAGCAACAGCGTGGGTGGCGCTGGTGCTGCAGTGCAGCAACAGTGTGGCGGCGCAGGCGTGCAGCACAGCGTGGGCGAAGCTGGTGGCGAAACAGCGTGGGTGGTGCTGGTGCGCAGCACCAAGCGTGGCGGCGCTGGCGTGCGCAGAACCCAACCACCCCCTAACTAACACGTGGTGGAAGGGGCAGCAAGAAGAATGAAAGGTGGGGCGGTGCGCCTGAGAATGAAAGCGTGGGTGGTGTTGAAAGCGAAGGCGCGGGTGGCGCTGATGTGCAAGCAATAAGCGTGGGTGGTGCTGGTGCAGGGAAAGCACAGCGTGGGTGGGTGCTGCGTGTGCAGCAATAAGCGTGGTGGTGCTGGTGCGCAGCAACAGCGTGGGTGGTGCTGGTGCGTGCGTACAGCGTGGGTGGCGTTGGCGTGCGCAGCACCAGCGTGGGTGGTGCTGGTGCGTGCAGCACTGAAAGCGTGGGCGGTGCTGGCGTGCAGGCGCGTGGCGTGCTGGTGCGTGGCAGCACTGCGTGGGTGGTGCTGGCGTGCGGACGTGTGAGTGGCGTTGGTGCGGTGCAGCATGCGTGCGGCGTGCAGAACAGCGTGGCGGTGCTGAAAGAGAAATGGCGGGCGGCGTTGAGCAGTCAACGCGTGGCGAGGCTGGTGAGCAGTACAGCGTGGGCGGTGCTGATGTGCGCACACAGCGTGGGCGGCGGCTGGCGTGCGCAGCTTGCGCGGGTGGCGGCGCTGGTGCAAAAAAGAAAGCGTGGGTGGTGCTGGCGTGCGCAGCCACAGCGTGGGCGGTGCTGGTGCGTGAGCATAACAGCGTGGGTGGTGCTGGCGTGAAAGCACGGTGGGTGGCGCTGGTGCGTGAGCACAGCGGGGTGGTGCTGATGCGTGGAAACAGCGTGGGCGGCGCTGGCGTGAGTGAAACAGGGTGGCGTTAAGTGCAGAACAGCGGGTGGTGCTGGCGTGAGCACGAAAGCGGGCGGTGCTAGCGTGCAGAAAGCACTGCGCGGGTGGCACTGCGGCGGCAGAGTATCGCGTGGGTGGCGGCTGGCGCGCAGCACGCGTGGGTGGTGCATGCGCGCATACTGCTGCGGGCGTGGCGTCGGCGATGACGCTGTGGGCGGCGCTGGCGCGCGCAGCCAATGCAGCGGCGGTGGGTGGCGGTGAGTGAACTGCGTGGGTGGTGCTGGCGCGCGCAGAAAACAGCGTACGGTGCCTGGCGCGGCAGCCAAGCGTGGCGGTGCTGGCGCGGTTAACAGCGTGGGTGGTGCTGGTGCGCAGCACAGCGTGGGTGGTGCTGGTGAGCAGGTGGTGCTGCGCGTGCAGCACAGCGGGTGGTGGCTGGCGTGCAGCACAAGCGTGGGTGGTGTCGGTGCAGAAACAGCGTGGTGGTGCTGCGTGCAGGACAGCGTGGGTGGTGCTGGCGTGAAAGCACTGCGCGTCAGGTGCTGGTGCAGAAACAGAAGTGTGGTGGTTGGTGCGCAGAAAACAGCGTGGGCGGTGCGGCTGGTGCGTGAGCACAGCGTGGGTGGTGCTGGCGTGCATAAGCGTGGGCGGCGGGCAGCGCAGCACGCGGTGCAGGCAGGAACGAGTGGTGGCGGCGGCCGATGCGGAAGAAACGCGCGTGGTGGCGGCTGGTGCGTGAAAGCTGGCGAAAGCGTGGTGGTGCTGCGTGCAGCCAATGCAGCGGGCGGTGCTGGTGCGTGCAGCAACAGCGCAGGCTGGCGTGCGTGCAATGCGCGTGGGTGGTGCTGAGTGCGAGAGCGTGGCAGGCTGGTGCGTATGCACCGCGTGGGTGGTGCTGGCGTGCAGCCACTGAAAGCGTGGGCGGTGCTGGCGTGCAGCACAGCGTGGGTGGCGGTTGGCGCGCGGCAGCACTGCTGCGGGCGTGTTGGCGTGCAGGATCATGCGTGATGGTGCTGGCGCAGCACAAGCGTGGAAGTGGTGTTAGTGTGTGCAGCACGGCGTGGGTGGCGTTAGCGTGCAGCTACTGCGCGTGGGTGGCGCTGGCGTGTGATGCGATGGCGGGCTGACGGCAGAAACAACAGCGTGGGCGGCGGTTGGCGCGCGGCATACAGCTGCGCATCGGCGCTGGCGCGCAGCTGGCGATAAAATGGTTGGCGTGCGCGTGACGTGCGATGGCGCCTGACGTGCGTGGTGCCAAGCGTGGGCGGCGTGCTCGACGTGCGCAGTTAATGGCGTGGGGTGGTGGCTGACGTGCAGCTACTGAGCGTGGGTGGTGCTTGCGTGCAGAACAGCGTGGGTGGTGCTGCGTGCAGCACAGGTGCGTGGGTGGTGTTGCGTGGTTAACAGTGTGGTGGCGTGCTGGCGTGCGTAGCGCGAGTGGGCGGCGTGCTGCTGATGTGCGCATACTGGTGCGTGGGTGGTGCTGGTGTGGTGAGCTAACAGCGTGGGCGGTGCTGGCGCGTGCTTCAGCGTGGGTGTGCTGATGCGTGAGAAGAGCGTGGGCGGCGTGGAAAGCACAGCGTGGGTGGTATTATTCCGCAGAAGATGTGGCGGCGGGGTCATTCGCGGCGGGCAGCCACGCGTGGCGGCGATGCGCGCCGAGCGTGGGCGGCGGTTTATCGTGCGCAGCCATTGTTGGGTGGGTGGCGCTGGCGTGCGCAGAGCAATGGCGTGGCGGTGCTGGCGTGCGTGGTGCCACCGAAAGCGTGGGCGGCGCTGGTGCGTGGCACCAGCGTGGGTGTGGTGCTGGTGCGTGGATGTGCAGAGTGGCGCTGGCACGCGTGCAGCACAAGCGTGCGGTGCTTATGCGCAGAACAGCGGGCGGCGCTGGCGTGTGCAGAACAGCAAAAGCTGGTGAGTGAACAGCGTGGGCGGCCAGTTGCAGCACAGTCGTGGTGGTGCCGGATAGTGAAACAGCGTGGGTGCGTGCTTGGTGTGCGCATAAAAGCGTGGGCGGTGCTGGCGTCGTGAGAACAAAGCGTGGGTGAAGCTGGCGTGCAGCACTGCGCGTGGGCGGTGCTGGCGTCAGTAACAGTGTGGGCGGTGCTGGCGTGCAAGCACCGCGCAGGCTTGCGCTCAGTGAAATGAAAGCGTGGGAGCCATTCAGATGCGAGCATAAGCGTGGGCGAAAGCCGACGTGCGCGAGTTAACGGCGTGGGCAGGCGCTGACGTGAAGAACAGCGTGGCGGCGGCTGACGCAGAAACAATAAGCGTGGCAGGGTCCTGCCGCGCAACAAAGCGGGCGGCGCTGCGTGCGCAGTGCTGGCGTGGGCGGTGCTGGCGTGCGCAGCCACCGCGTGGGTGGCGCTGATGCGTGCAGCAACAGCGTGGGTGGCGTGCAGAACAGCGTGGTGGTGCTATGCGTGTGCAGCAATAAGCGTGGGTGGTGCTGGTGCGTGAAGGACTGAGCGTGGGTGGTGTTGGTGAGCAAACAGCGGGTGGTGCTGGTGTGCAGCAAAGCGTGGGTGGTGCTGGCGTGCAGCTAAAAGCGTGGGTGGAAGCTGGCGTGTGGCAGCCCAGCGTGGGCGGTGGCTGGTGCAGACGAAAGCGTGGGTGGTGCTGAGGTGCAGTACTGAAAGGTGGGCGGTGTTGGTGCGTAGCACCAGCGTGAGCAATGCAACCGAACCGT